TTTTGAGACGGAGTTTCACTCTTGTTGCCCAGGCTGGAGTGCAATAGCGTGATCTCGGCTCACTGCAAACTCCACCTCCCGGGTTCAAGCGATTCTCGTTCCTCAGCCTCCCAAGTAGCTGGGATTACACATGCCCACCACCACGCCCAGCTAATTTCTGTATTTTTAGTAGAGACAGGGTTTCACCATGTTGGCCAGGCTGGTCTCAAACTCCTGACCTCATGAGCCACCTGTCTTGGCGTCCCAAAGTGCTGGGATTACAGGTGTGAGCCATTGCGCCCGGCCAGTATCTCAGTTTTTTTATTTTTATTATTTTTTGAGATGGAGTTTTGCTCTTGTTGCCTAGGCTAGAGTGCAGTGGCATAATCTTGGCTCACTGCAATCTCTGTCTCCTGGGTTCAAGTGATATTTCCTGCCTCAGCCTCCCAAGAAGCTGGGATTATAGGCATGCACCACCACGCCCAGCTAATTTTGTATTTTTAGTAGATTACAGGTGTGAGCCATGTGCCCAGCTGAGGACTCTTGACAGTGGTATCCTGGAGCTAGCTCATACTGGCTTGCAAGAGTGCAGTTGTGAAATTTTCAGGGGTTTTGTGAGCCAGTTGTTGAACACAGCCATTGTTAGAAATTAATTTATATAAACTTACGATTTAATACATTATATTAAAAGCAAAGGTAACATTAAATATTCAAAGCTCATTACTTAATATATCATTGTACAATAATGTTTTACCACATTGTACTATGCTCTGCCCTATGCTCTGCCCTTGAGGTATTTGCTTTGAATGTGTCTGTATGGTGAAAATACTGTATAATAGTGTGGTACCCTTCCCAGTGCTGCATTCAGTTACATGATATTGGTAACTTAAAATTGGCCATTGTGGGAGTAGTTTTACCACGGAAATTGGCAAACACAACAAATCAGAGGCCTCCCTCACTTTGGAGAGCCAGTTTTTCAACATTTACCAGCATACTACTGGTTTGGGGGATATTTTACCTGCCTTATTGGGGCTCCTAAAACTAGAAAGGCTTATGCAGCACCAACTTTTGGTGCCCACTGAGAGCAAGGCTTCAGGCAACCAGACTGTGGGCTCCTGAGCCTGTTAGATGTGACTCACATTATTCCCTCTTCCCAGGCCCTTCCATACTTTGACCGGCTAGACTACGTGTCCATGATGTGTAATGAACAGGCCTATTCTCTAGCTGTGGAGAAGTTGCTAAACATCCGGCCTCCTCCCCGGGCACAGTGGATCCGAGGTATGGCCCCCTGGCTTTTTGCACGGCCCACTGAGCATAGCACAGTGCCTTTTCCACCTCTTCCCCGTTGAACCCAAGCTTAGTGTTCAGACCCCAGGCTCTGCCCAGACCTCTCTGTCTGTCCCAGTGCTTGGCTCCTATATACGGTCTTCTTCTTGTCTTTACAGTGCTGTTTGGAGAAATCACACGGCTGTTGAACCACATCATGGCTGTGACCACACATGCCCTGGATCTTGGGGCCATGACCCCTCTCTTCTGGCTGTTTGAAGAAAGGGAGAAGGTAAGGGAGGGAGGAAAGGATAGGAATAGGGAAGGAAGTGCAGGAAGTAGAGAAGGTATAAGGAGACAGGAGATTAAAAGAAGAGAGAACATGGGAGAACATTTAGAGGGAGAAGGTATGTTTAACTTGGGTTATATTTGTAGAGACTGTATCATGAGGGGTTGGTTGGGCACAAGAAGGCAGAAGGTTGGAGGTGTAGGCCGTCATAGGACCTGGGGGCCTGGGACTTTGACACTGATTCCCAGCATGCTCTATCGAGATGTTTGAGTTCTACGAGCGAGTGTCTGGAGCCCGCATGCATGCTGCTTATATCCGGCCAGGAGGAGTGCACCAGGTGAGCAGGTCCCCGGCTTCCCCAGACGTCCAGCCCAGGCCTATTTTCCCTGTGGCCACTGGAGGGCAGTGCTGGATGATGGAAACTCCAAGCCTGTAGCCCTGGGGGAGGGGATGCTGAGCTGGCTGTCCTCAGCAGAGGCTATGCCACGTTCAATAGCACCTCCGTTTGGCTTCTAGGACCTTCCCCTTGGGCTTATGGATGACATTTATGAGTTTTCTAAGAACTTCTCTCTTCGGCTTGATGAGTTGGAGGAGGTAAGCTAGGAGTCAATGGGAAAAATCTCTCTTTCCCCCACAAGAAGTGCTTGTGGGGTTTTATTCCCCAGTTGTAAAGAAATACAGAGATATTTGAAGAGTGTAAGGAAGAGTATTAACATACCAGTTTTCTCGATCAATAGATGCTGACCAACAATAGGATCTGGCGAAATCGGACAATTGACATTGGGGTTGTAACAGCAGAAGAAGCACTTAACTATGGTTTTAGGTGAGGGGAATACAACTTCTCTCCTTAGGAGTGGGGATGGGAGTGGGGGAGTTCCAGCCTAATATCTTGTCTTTTAAGACTTGTTGGCATCCTCCTAGTCATACCCTGAATGTGAAGGAGCAACAGGGGAGCCTAAGGAAGAATTAGCCTCCTTACTTAGTTTGTGGAGAGTGGTGCTTATTCCCATTATGCTCTCCACAGTGGAGTGATGCTTCGGGGCTCAGGCATCCAGTGGGACCTGCGGAAGACCCAGCCCTATGATGTTTACGACCAGGTTGACTTTGATGTTCCTATTGGTTCTCGAGGGGACTGCTATGATAGGTAAGGCCCCAATCCTTTCTCAGCTGATCATCCAGCTAGTTTCCCCTGCCTCTTCTCTTTGCCACTTCCTTCTTTACCCTACTTCTCAGTGTCTGTGGGAGCTCTTGTGTGTGTTAGATGAGGTTGCTCTCAAAACACTGTCACATATATGGAATCTTACTTATTTTTTCTTTTTTGAGACGGAGTTTCACTCTTGTTGCCCAGGCTGGAGTGCAATGGCACAATCTCGGCTCACCCCAACCTCTGCCTCCCAGTTCAAGTGATTCTCCTGCCTCAGCCTCCTGAGTAGCTGGGATTACAGGCATACGCCACCATGCCCAGCTAATTTTTGTATTTTTAATAGAGACGGGGTTTCTCCATGTTGGTAAGGCTGGTCTCAAGCTCCTGACCTCAGGTGATCCACCCGCCTCGGCCTCCCAAAGTGTTGGGATTACAGGCGTGAGCCACCATACCCAGCCTATGGCACTTTAAAATCTTTACATTATCCTTTTCTTAGATGGAGCTAGCTTTGGCTGCATTTTATAACTGAGAAAGCTGAGGCATAAAAGTTAGGGATTAGCTGGGATTATTCTGCAGGAGTGGTTGAGACTAGAGTCCTCCTGATCCAATGTTCTTTCTAGTAGATTCTAAGCTTCAAATTCTCCTCCTGGGTCGGGCGCAGTGGCTCACACGTGTAATCCCAGCACTTTGGGAGGCCAAGATGGGTGGATCACTTGAGGTCAGGAATTCAAGACCAGCCTGGCCAACATGGTGAAACCCCATTTCTACTACAAATACAAAAAATTAGCTGGGTGTGGTGATGCATGCCTGTAAGTCCAGCTACTTGGGAGGCTGAGGCAGGAGAATTCCTTGACCCTGGGAGGTGGAGGATGCAGTGAGCTGAGATGGAGCCACTGCATTCCAGCCTGGGCAACAGAGCGAGACTCTGTCTCAAAACAAAAAACCAAAAACAAAAACAAATTATCCTCTTGTTTTCTCACCCTGAGTCAGATTTGTTACTGTGTATTTTTTGTTGGTCTGTTTGTTTTATTTTTTGAACCTGGTAGCTGCTGTATATTTTTGTTTGTCCATTTGACTCTCACCCATTCTGTGGTCCAAAAAGTGCTTAAGGAGCTAATTAAAGAAATAAATACTACAGGCCATGTTCTGAGAAAATAAGGAGAGGGTTTGGGGAAGCACCCAAGAGTAGAAGCAAAAGACTACAGGGGGCTGGGCATGGTGGCTCATGCCTATAATCCCAGCACTTTGGGAGACCAAAGCGGGCAGTCACTTGAGCTCAGGAGTTGGAGATCAGCCTGGGCAGCAAGGTGAAACCTTGTCTTTACAAAAAATATTCGAATCTGGTGGTGCATGCCTGTAATCCAAGCTACTTTGGAGACTGAGATGGGAGGATCACTTGAGTCCAGGAGTTCGAGGCTACAGTAAGCTGTGAAACCTTGTCTCAAAAAAAAAAAAAAAAAAAAAAAAAAAGACTGCAGGGTTCATATGGGTGGCCAAGCCAAGCAGAGATGCTGTACTTGGAGAAACGAGTGGGGAGAGTTGACTTAACCCTTTTGAGGTTGGCCAAAGGGCATCCTTCCCAGCCCCATACCTGCTCCTTTGACTGTTCTTCTCTTGCTCTGTCCCATCTACTTCAGGTACCTGTGCCGGGTGGAGGAGATGCGCCAGTCCCTGAGAATTATCACACAGTGTCTAAACAAGATGCCTCCTGGGGAGATCAAGGTTGATGATGCCAAAGTGTCTCCACCTAAGCGAGCAGAGATGAAGGTTGACTGCAGGGAGGGGAAAGTGTGGGGTGTTGGAAAGGGGCCAGTGGCTGGGGAGGAATATCCTTGAATTAAATCCTATCTTTCAGTTTTCTTTCTTTTTTTTTTTTTTTTGAGACAGAGTTTTACTCTTATTGCCCAGACTGGAGTGCAATCTTGGCTCACTGCAACCTCCACCTCCCAGATTCAAGCAATTCTTCTGCCTCAGCCTCCCAAGTAGCTGGGATTACAGGCATGTGCCACTATGCCCAGCTAATTTTTTGTATGCAGTAGAGACAGGGTTGCACCATGTTGGTCAGGGTGGTCTCGAACTCTTGACCTCAGGTGATCCACCTGCCTTGGCCTCCCAAATCGCTGGGATTACAGGCATGAGCCACCATGCCCAACTCAGTTTTCTTTTTATAGAGAATTCACTGTATAATAAGAGATTCTTTTTTTATTTTTAAATTTTTATTATTATTGTTATTATTATTATTTTTGAGACGGAGTCTCGCTCTTCGCCAGGCTGGAGCGCAGTGGTGTGATCTCAGCTTACTGCAGCCTCTGTCTCCTGGGTTCAAGCAATTCTCCTGCCTTAGCCTCCTGAGTAGCTGGGATTACAGGCACCCACCACCACGCCCAGCTAATTTTCGTATTTTTAGTAGAGACGGAGTTTCACTGTGTTGGCCAGGCTGGTCTTGAACTCCTGACCTCGTGATCTGCCCACCTTGGCTTCCCAAAGTGCTGGGATTACAAGCGTGAGTCACCACGCATGGCCATATGAGAGATTCTTAATCTTCCATATTTCTCTTGTTTTATTCTGTATCCTCTCTGCTTACTGACTGACATGTGGCTTTAGTCTCCCAGAGGGTAGAGATTATTTTCTGTGCTGGGGAAGGCCTAGGAGACAGAGTTTGGATTTGGTTTATTGATGCTCCTTTTTCCTCTCTTCAGACTTCCATGGAGTCACTGATTCATCACTTTAAGTTGTATACTGAGGGCTACCAAGTTCCTCCAGGAGCTACATATACTGCCATTGAGGCTCCCAAGGTGAGGAGAGGAGGGGAAGGAAAAGACCATATGTAGAGTAGGTACCTAAAGATTAGATGTTTATCAAGACACTCATTCATCAATGAGAGAGAAAAGAGGAGGATGAATAGAGGTTTTGTTGGCAGAGAAAAACACTCTTCCTGTTAATAGAGACACCCAACCTTCTTCCTTGAACAGGGAGAGTTTGGGGTATACCTGGTATCTGATGGCAGCAGCCGCCCTTATCGATGCAAGATCAAGGCTCCTGGTTTTGCCCATCTGGTAAGAATCAATCCCAGTAACTTTAACTCCATTTAATTAAACCTGACCTTGGTTGAGGTTTTTTTGAACTCTTCTTTCTCCTCCCACCTTGCAAGTCTTACCTAACATTGTTGCCATCTCAATCTCCCTAGGCTGGTTTGGACAAGATGTCTAAGGGACACATGTTGGCAGATGTCGTTGCCATCATAGGTACGAGGCCTATTGTGTAGTAGAGGTATCCTAGACAAAGGAGTTGGGGACGCCCACTGGGGACAGAAAGAGAACACTTCCTGTTCACCGTAGGCCATGGCATGGCCTCGGGTCCTCAATCTCTTGAGCACAGTAACAGGTTCTGGATCTTGGGTAACACCACTTTGTTTGTCTGTTTGTTTTGCCTCACAACAGGAAGATAAGTGACACCACTTTTTCCCTCCATCCTCTCACCTAGGTACCCAAGATATTGTATTTGGAGAAGTAGATCGGTGAGCAGGGGAGCAGCGTTTGATCCCCCCTGCGTATCAGCTTCTTCTGTGGAGCCTGTCCCTCACTGGAAATTGGCCTGTGTGTGTGTGTGTGTGTGTGTGTGTGTATATGTGTGTGTACATGTTCATGTACACTTGGCTGTCAGGCTTTCTGTGCATGTACTAAAAAAGGAGAAATTATAATAAATTAGCCGTCTTGCGGCCCCTAGGCCTAAACTTCTGGTGTGTGTTTCTCAGTATCTTAGCATCCTTCACTTGGACTGTGAACCTAAGAGTGTTCATTAACCCTCCATTCCTGTTAGATTCAGTCAGGTCTTTGTAATTTTTCCTGCTCGTCTCCACCCCCTTCTCTGACTCTTGTCCTTTCCACTTCTCTATTCCCCGTTTCCTCTTTCCCCTAGTTCCCTCCTTGCCCAGACCTCCTCAGTGCCCACATAAATTGGTAAACCACTCCAATCAAGACCTGGGGTAAAGTTCCAGTTGGGAGGGAAAGGGCTATAGTGGGGTCTGAGGGAATGTCGACGGGCAGTTTAGCACAGATAAATCTCTGAACCAGGTGGAGTTGGAAATGGCAGATGTAGACAGTCTTTCCTGAGTGTGAGAGTCTCCTCATTCTATGGGTTAGGAGTTGGTCATTGAAGGGCTGACACTTAAGAGCCCAGATCTCCCAACTCCCTTAGTTGGCCCTTCCGGGAGCCGCCCGGTCTCTTGCGCAGGAAGGGGAAGGGGCCAAAGCGTGGGGGAAGGCGTGGCAGGAAGGGGGGGACTCTGTGGTCAGGGAACTGCTTGCTGAGCACAGCTGCACAGTGCTGTCAGGACAGCCGATCTCCAGCCCAAGATGATTCCAGCAGTGGTCTTGCTCTTACTCCTTTTGGTTGAACAAGCAGGTAAGAGGGTTTGGTGAGGATAGCGTGAGCTGGCTCCAGGGTGGAAATCCAGAGCATGGGTCTGAGGGCCGAGTCAAACACAGATGAAGGAAGACTGACAGTGGGCAGGTGGGCATAGGGAAACCCTGAGGCCAGTCCTATCCAGCCCCGACCCAGGGCACTAGACTCATAGTTCCTTCTTTCTTGTTGCCTTCTTACCTCATTCCAGACTTTTCTTCATATTTTTATTACTATTATTTTGGAGACAGAGTCTTGCTCTGTCACCCAGGCTGGAGTGCAGTGGCGCAATCTCTACTCACTGCAACCTCCACCTCCTAGGTTCAAGCGATTCTCCTGCCTCAGGCTCTCGAGTAGCTGGGACTACAGGCACTCGCCACCACGCCCGGCTAAGTTTAGTATTTTTAGTAGAAACCAGGTTTCATCATGTTGACCAGGGTGGTCTTGAACTCCTGACTCAAGTGATCCACCCACCTTGACCTCCCAAAGTACTGGGGATTACAGGTGTGAGCCACTGCACTCAGCTATTATTATTATTTTAAAAAGACGGTCTTGCTATGTTGGCCACATAGGTCTTGAACTCCTGGCCTCAGGCAGTTCTCCCACCTCAGCCTCCGAAAGCGCTACTGTGCCTGGTTGACTTTTCTCTTTTCAGTGTTGATAGAAAGTGGCAGGGGAAGGGTCTGGTTGTATGGCATGAAGAGCTGGTCTGGTGAAAAGCTTCGTTTCCCATGATCAGTGTTTCCCATGGGGTGCATTTGGTCTTGTCTGCTGGGAGCTGATCTCTAGCTGGTTTAATATACAAAGCACCCTTGGCGCCTGTAATCCCAGCTACTCAGGAGGCTGAGGCAGGAGAATCACTTGAAGCCAGGAGGTAGAGGTTGCAGTGAGCCAAGATCGCACCATCGCACTCTAGCCTGGGCGACAGAGAGAGACTCCGTCTCAAAAAAAAAAAAAAAAAAAAAAAAAAAAAAAAGATTATATATATTTATATATATAGAGAGAGAGATACAGAGAACCCTTTAGGAAGGTAGGAATCTGTTCTTGTGCTTGGGAGTAAGGCAAGGATATAGCCAAGACAAACAGACGGGATTGCTTTTTCTATGGGTCATTGCTAATGCTCCATTCTGTCAGCAGTTGATATGAGGATGGGCAGCATGAGATGCTGTTCCAGAGACCTGAGCGTGAGCTGAGAAATAGAGGCAGAAATGGGAAGGTCTCTGCAGCTCTACGGCTCCAGTCACTATCTAAGAATTCCCACTCTTTGTTCACTCTGGGTTGTCTGTGCCAGATTGGGGTGTGTGTGTGTGTGTGTGTGTGTGTGGCAGCTGGGTGTCGGGGAGGAGGAGGTCCGTAAGCTTCAGGGAAACTGTGGAAATTGAAAGACAATGACTGGGGAGGAATTCCAGCAGCCTAGCTGAGAAGGTGGGAGCAAGTATTAAGTTAACCACTGGTCTGCTGCTGTGGGATGAGGAGGGAGGAGGCCCGCTGAGGCCCAAACGAAAGCACGGGCTTTAGAGGCAGAAAACCTGCATTTGAGTTCAGCTCTGTCACTTAACTCTGTGGCTCTGAGTGAGTTACTTAGCTTTTCCGAGCCTTGGTTTCGTCACCCATAAAATGGCAATGACGATGTTTCCCTCACAGGGTCGTTTTAAGATTTGTGCAATATCATGTGTGTGAAAGAATGTTGCAGAATAAAAAGTACTTGACTGATGTCAGTAATTGACCGGCGTTAGTCACACGTTCCCTACTGGTCTTCTGATAGGGGGTGAGAGCAGTCTCTGGAGCCCAGACTTGATTTGATTTTTTTAAATTGCACAAAACTTCCCCTCTCAGAGGCCCAGAGAGTGAGTAATAAGGCAGAGTAACAGGAGCTGGTATCCATATAGCTGTGGTCATTCCCCCAGCCTTGTGTTCAGGGCCAAAGGTATCTGTATGGTCTGGGAAAAACAGACACTTTTTTTTTTTTTTTTTTTTTACATATTTAAGTGTCTTGTGGCAGGACAGAAAGCAACAAGGCTGAGGCTAGGAGATGACCAATGACAGAGTAATTGCCTTCTCTCCCTTCCCCAGCTCACATCCTTCCTGTCCAGCCCTCAGCCACAGGTCACAGGACTTAGTAGAGACACTTCTGTGGTTTCTTCACTGAAATTTGCCACTGCCTCTCCCTCCCACTACCCCTCTCGGCTGAGGTTTTTGTTTCAGTCGAGTGGACTCAGATGGGTCCCTTGAGGTGGATAAATTGCTCAATGTGGGCCTGAGAAACCCACAATGCTAAAAAGAAAAGGTTGGGGGCTGAGGGGGAAGGCCTCAATTATTAGTCCACATAAGTCCCATCTCAATAGAACCCTCACACTTCCTATCCTAGCCCGACCGTAGGGTGAGGGAGAAGAGGGAAAGGTAAGGGCAGTGGGAGGCCAGAGAGAAACAGAATTTCTTCCCTTAGACGGCTCCCCTCCAGGCTTTGTCCTACCCCCCAGAGCCCCTTCCCTTCTCTCCTCTGAGTACGAGATCCTCCCTGATGCCCCTGACCCCACGGGCACCCTCTATCCCCTCAGCGGCCCTGGGAGAGCCTCAGCTCTGCTATATCCTGGATGCCATCCTGTTTCTGTATGGAATTGTCCTCACCCTCCTCTACTGTCGACTGAAGGTAGCGCTGGGCAGGGAGGGGTAAGGGGCTGGAAGGGGAAGTGGGAGGGGGGCAGCAGCAAGGATTCGAAGAGAAGGAATAAAAGGGGCTCCCCGACAAAGTTTGCAGGGAAGGGGGATGGGCCACTAACTTCCCCTTTTCTGATAACCTTTCCCCCATTCCAGATCCAAGTGCGAAAGGCAGCTATAGCCAGCTATGAGGTATGGACCCTCCCACACCTGGTGTCAACAACTTTTCAGACCTTCAGCCCTTCTGGGGCTCCAGCCTGGGGTTCCGGGCCTCTGGGAGGGCATGCCTGTCAGGTGCTGACCTGCGTACACCTCAGAGGCCTCCCTCCCACCTTACCTAGCCAAGCCAGAAGTAAAATATTCGGCAGGTGACAGGGAAGAATCAAGCATAGAGTGACAAAGAATATGTGAGAGACTTGGATGTGGTATGTCGGGTGTATATGTGTGCTTGTAGCCATGTGAGCAAATAGGCATCCATGGTCCAGAGCATCCATGTGAGTGCCCTCTAGCCCAAGGTGGCTGGCCGCCCACGCCCCATGTCTCCCTGGGGCCCTGGAGAAGCTGTGGGTCTCTAATGCTTTGCTTCTTTTGTCTCTGCAGAAATCAGATGGTGTTTACACGGTAAGTGTGCCTGCCTCCCCTACCCGGGAAGTCAGCAGAAGAGGGTGGGATTTTGAGCGATCTTTGGAAGGGGCGGGGCCTGTGGAGGTGGGAGGGGCCCCTGATGGGCTCCAGCTCCTGATCACCCTTTGACTCCCACCTCCAGGGCCTGAGCACCAGGAACCAGGAAACTTATGAGACTCTGAAGCATGAGAAACCACCACAGTAGCTTTAGAATAGATGCGGTCATATTCTTCTTCGGCTTCTGGTTCTTCCAGCCCTCATGGTTGGCATCACGTATGCTTGCATGCCATTAACATCAGCTGGTCCTACCCCTATAATGATCCTGTGCCCTAAATTAATATACACCAGTGATTCCACCTCCCCGTTAAAGACTAATGCTCAGATGCTATTCACGGATGTTTATATTCTAGTCTCACTCTCTTGTCCCACCCTTCTTCTTTTCCCCATCCCCAACTCCAGCTAAAATATGGGAAGGGAGAACCCCCAATAAAGCTGCCATGGACTGGACTCTATTCATTCATTCATTTATCATATATTTATTCAGTCTCTACTAAGCACTAGATACAGTTTTTCAGTTCCAGAACTCACAGTCTAACGGACTTCAGGGCTATTTTGCTGACTGAGGGATAAACGTTGACTATGGCTGGGGGAGGGATAAAACCTTTGACCTCCAGGTGCTCTGAGGATGCAGCTGGAGCAGGTACTAGTGTGTTGGGAGTCTAGGCGTATTTGGAAACATAAGAAATGACTTCTGTATCAGCATGGCCTTCTGTGTTTGACGATTGAACCAAGGTTGGGTTGTAGGGGAACCTGGGTGTCCCCAGATAGTCACCAATCCAGACAGCACCAATCCAGTACATGCATATGGGAATTAGCATAGCTGAAAAGCCAAATATGCAGAATGGATGGTATGACTAGGCATGTGTGAAGCTCCTAATGGAAGGTTTTATAGGAACAGTGAATTTTCATGGCGTCTGGGGCAAGTGGGAGCTTAGAGGGCCAGATGGGTTAGTGGTAGGTAAGGCAAAGGGAAATAAGTTGGGTCCAAATGGCGGGTCATCTCCCTCAAGTGCATGGGTGGTGGTCAAGGCCCTGTCAATGCCTGTCCTGTTTTCAGAGTTATGAGAAATATTTGCCTGGAAGAATTTAAACCTCAGGAGATGCTGCCAGTCCTACTTGTGACCCACAGTCTTTTCAGAATGGGTCTAGAGACTCCAAGCTTACCCCTGGCATAACCCCCAACCTCCACAGTACTGCACAACACTTCACACTGCACAGCGACTTACACTTTTCAAAGTATTTTCCAGCTGATTGTACCATTTGATCTGCTAATTAACCCTGTGAGGAAATTCAGGCTATTTGAGGTTAATTAACCTGTCCAAGTTCAGCTTGCCAGGGACCGACTGATATCACTTTTGTCTCTGCACATTTTGCCACATGAGAAAAAGCGGATATTGGGAAAGAGAAGGGGTAGTGAGTAATCATGAATGGTGAGGGTCATGAAGGCCAGATGAAGGAGGTTGATCAATATCTGGAAGGAATTGGAGCCATCTCCAGTGTCTGTGGGGGAAAGGTGATTTCAGATGAGATATGAGAAATGAGCCATGGTAGGAAAGTAACTTTTTCTTTTTTTTCTTTTTTTTTTTGAGATGGAGTCTCCCTCTGTTGCCAGCCTACAGTGCAGTGGCGCAATCTCGGCTCAGTGCAAACTTTCCCTCCCAGGTTCAAGTGATTCTTGTGCCTCAGCCTCCCGAGTAGCTAGGACTACAAGCACCACCATGCCCAGCTAATTTTTTTTTGTATTTTCAGTAGAGATGGGGTTTCACTATGTTGGCCAGGATGGTCTTGATCTCTTGACCTTATGATCTGCCCGCCTTGGCCTCCCAAAATGCTGGGATTACAGGTGTGAGCCACCAAGCCTGACCTGGAAGTAACTCTTTTAAAGATAAAGTGGGAATAAAATTTTATTGGAAAATGTTTCATTTTCCCTTGCTCTGCCTCTTGGGATTGTAAGTCTCTTCCCATCAACCCAGACTGATTTCCATTCCATTTTCATTTAATCCAGGTATCACAGCTCCCAAAGTTTTTCTAGTCCCATATGTCCACCAAATTGGATACTTGCCAGGCCTTTAAATGGCTACCACAGCTACTAGTTCCAGGCTCCAAGATGGCTACCAGGCCAGTTCTATAAATAGTGCCTGGATAGCGGTGGAGGAGAGGCTTGGAATGGGTCTTCCACAGGCAGTGTCTAGATAAGAGGTTTTTTGGTTTTTGTTTTGTTTTGTTTTTTGTTTGTTTGTTTGTTGTGACAGAGATTCACTCTTGGTGCCCAGGCTGGAGTGCAATGACACGATCTCGACTCACTGCAACCTCCACCTCCCAGGTTCAAGCGATTCTCCTGCCTCAGCCTCTTGAGTAACCGGGATTATAGGCATGTGCCAACACTCCCGGGTAATTTTTGTATTTTTGGTAGAGACGGGGTTTCACCATGTTACCCAGGCTGATCTCGAACTCCTGACCTCAGGTGATCTGCCCACCTCGGCCTCCCAAAGTGCTGGGATTACAGGTGTGAGCCACTGCACCCAGCTGGGCTTTTGTTTTTAATTAAAAAAAATATATTAGGGGGTCTCACTGTGTTTCTCAATCTGGTGTCTAACTCCTGGCCTCAAGTGATTCTCCCACCTCAGCCTTCCAAAGTGCTGGGATTACAGGTGTGAGCCTCGGTACCTGGCCTAGACAAGAGGTTTTAAATGGAGAAATTAGAGCACTTCCAGGGAGAGGAGCAAACTTGAGTCTTTTATTGTGGGAAAGGGGGAAACACAGTGTTGCCCTGGCTCAGAAGGGAAACGAGGGTCTTGATTGATACCTTGGGAAGCTTTCTTTTCTTCATAGAATGACTAAGAGGAAATTCTGAGGGGTACCCTCGTTTTCTTTTTTTCTTTTCTTCTTCTTCTTTTTTTTTTTTTTTTTTTTTTTTGAGACGGAGTCTCACTCTGTCACCCAGGCTGGAGTGCAGTGGCACGATCTCAGCTCACTGCAACCTCTGCCTCCTGGGTTCAAGTGATTCTCCTGCCTCAGCCTCCCAAGTAGCTGGGATTACAGGCACGTGCTACCACACCTGGCTAATTTTTGTATTTTCAGTAGAGACAGGGTTTTACCATGTTGGCCAGGCTGGTCTGGTACTCCTGATCTCAAGTGATCCACCTGCCTCGGCCTACCAAAGTGCAGAGATTACAGGTGTGAGCCACTGCACCCCACCAGGGTACCCTCATTTTCTATGACATCCAGAAATCGAGGGATTCAGTTTGTGAATTCTTCCTTCCTCTCCTAGTTCTGTGTGCAACGCAAAGCCTCTTTAGTGTTCTCTTGCAGAGTCATGCCCAGCCCGTAGGAGACTCTTTGGGTTTGGAGAAGAATCATGGCACCCTCCCCCTGTCATTTTCATCAGTTGTGTCTTCAATCTTTTCTTCACCCCTCCACACCCAAACTTCTCTCCTTCTAGAAGCAGACTTTTTCTTTTCCTTCCTCTTCTCCTCCCCTACTCCCCTACTTTTCCCAGTCCCCCAAACATACCAGGCTCAGAGCTGGATTCATTCAGCATTTATTGTAGCAAAGAGTGGGTAGGGAGAGGAGCTCCAGGCCTGGCCAGTGGGTGTTCTAGAGGCCAGCTGGGGTTGGAAGACAATGGTCTGGACACCTCACTGGGTGGCAGGTTGTGTTCTAAGTTCCACGAAATAGCTCAAGAAGTTAACCAGATCCGTTCCAGCCTTCTTGACCAGAGGTGTCAGCTGCTCCTTTGACTTTTCAAAGTAAGCCCTGGATAGGTGAGGGGATTAGAGTTTAATTTGAGGGACCCTAGGCACTGGCAGGGGCCTCGGTCATGGTGGGAGGTCAGAGCAGACTGACACAGGTCCCCAAACTCTAGTGCCTGGTCCATCGCATGGCAAAGCCCCTAGGTGGGAGTAGAGCCAAGACCTTTGCTGGGTAGAGGAACAGACCCTAGAGACTGAAATTCAAGGCCCAGTTCTTGCTGTTCCTCTCTATCTAAGAAACGTGTGGGATCTTTGGGCAACGAAGGACTTTTTCTCTCCAATTTAAGCCTAATCTGCCCTAATCCCCACCCCTGGGTTCAGTTTTCTGTGGGGCCTCTCATTTTCCCTTCTTCCTTTCCACAGTTCCACAGCCCCTGAACTCCTTGCCCTTACACTTACTTGGCCTGGGCCTGAAGCTCTGGGCTCTTGACCTTCTCCATCAGGTCCTTGCCGTAGTCAGTCACCGTCTGGAAGTACTGAGAAACCAGGCTCTCCACACTTGGTTCCTCTGCCTGTCTCCGAACCAAAGCTCCTGCACACACACACACACACACACTCTTTTCAGCTGGGTCCACAGCAATGAATCTTGGCCTCTTGCCATACCTCTGCCAGTACCCACCCCAGCTCTCCGCCCTCTCCCCAAAAAGGTGTCCAGTCAGATCTTTGGATGGGCTTTCTGGGCTTTAGATAGGGAATGATCTTCCTTTTGAGCCCCCTAGTTGCCAGACCTGGATATAAGAGCATAGGCAGATAGGTAGCTATAACCGCCAGCACATTCTCCCTTTTGGCCCCCTCTCCATATCACACCCACCTTCAAGGCTGCAGATGGTGAGGAGCAGCACAGTTGCTGCGAGCAGCTTCATGTTGGTGACAGTGGGGAAAGCGGCCTAGGAAGAGGGTGGTGGGGGTTGGGGGGGACACTGAAGCCAAATGGGCTTCAGCTCCTCCCCAGAGATCTCCCTACCTGCTGCCCATTTCAACCTGGCTCTCTCCCTCTCCACAACTGAAGCCCAAGCCTCTTTGGATGCTGCTCACACCTCTTGCCTCTTTATCTTACCTAGTCAGCGTCTCTGTCCTTGGCGTCTGTGCCTGCCCTGGCTGGAGAGGTAGGGGCTATATACCTGTCTGTTTACCCACCCCCTGTCAGGTGACAGGAACTATGATGGGTCCAGTGGGACAGGGATTATGTTAGGATAAACAAGTTGGACAGATGGGGGAGGAGAGGACAAGCACATGGAAGACTCATGGTGATGGGGTGAGAGGCAGGGGGTACAGCCCTTAGTGGAGGCTAAGAGGGTACACTTCAGGTATATTTGAGGTTCATTCTTTTGAGATCTGAGGTCCTTGGACTTGAATGCAGCAGGAAGCAGGATTCCAAGTTACTTCTCTGGAAAGCTCTGATATATCAACCCATGGGATACCATCAACCCATCATACCGTGGAAAGCTCATGGTATCTTTATTCCATTGTGGGTAGATCTCATCTCTCAACCTTATCCCACTTTACTGCAATTTGGCAGAGAGATATTGGGGAGCAGAAGAAAGGAGAAAGGAATTGAAATCAGGGACAGGGTTGAGGGCTATGGGGGTTACAAAAATGAGGGTCGGGTAAGAGGCAAGTGTAAATGATTTTGTCCATTTTTGAGTTAATGTGTAATGAGATGGGGAGAAAACAGGAGAGCCCAGAATGACCTGGATGCTGATCAGTGAACATACCCTACCCCCAGTAAAACAAATTCAGAAAACAGCTTCCGCCCATCCCCTCCCAATGGAGGGCTCTGGCAGGAAAAGGGGTGAACAAGAGGCTTCTGCCAGGGTAAAGGTTGAAGGTGCCTGGTCATTTGATCACCTTATCAGTTCTAGGCAGTGACCAGCCAATACTGAGTCAGCAGGGGCAATAGCCCTGGCCCTTGTCTCACTCCTGTTGGGGTAGGGGAGGGGGATAGGTACATTCTCAGGTTCAAAGCATTTGGGTGAAATCAGTTAAATAGATATCAGAAGCATTTGTATCTTTCACCCTTTTGCCCCCCCAAGCATACTCCCTGAGTATATGGAACATTCCTGAGAGGTGAGAGTGGAGGTGCAGAGCTAATGAGGGAGGTAGTGACCAAAGACCAAGAAATCTTTGTTTTTTAACTTTTGTTTTAAATTCAGAAGTATATGTGCAGGTTTTTTTGTTTGTTTGTTTTCCTGAGACGGAGTTTTGCTCTTGTTGCTCAGGCTGGAGTGCAATGACATGATCTTGGCTCACTGCGACCTCTGTCTCCTGGGGTTCAGCGATTCTCCTGCCTCAGCCTTCCAAGTAGCTGGGATTACAGGCATACGACACCACGCCTGGGTAATTTTGTTCTTTCAGTAGAGACGGGGTTTCTCCATGTTGGTCAGGCTGGTCTTGAACTCCCGACCTCAGGTGATCCGCCCACCTCGGCCTCCCAAAGTGCTAGGATTACAGGCGTGAGCCACCGCACCCAGCCTATATGTGCAGGTTTGTTACATACATAAATTTGTGTCATGCGGATTTGTTGTACAGATTATTTCATCACCCAGGTATTAAGCCTAATATCCATTAGTTATTTTTCCTGATCTTCTCCCTCCTCCCACCCTTCACCCTCCAAGACCAAGAAATCTTACTCCATCTTCAATTATTCCCCTGTGGAGCGCTTAGTGCTTGAGGTCAGCCCTTTGGCTTGCCCCGGTCCTGGGATGGAGTGCATTTGGGGGCCAGGCTCCATATTCCTAGATTTTATTTGCCAACTCTGCCTGGGGACTCAGGGAAGGAAAGGTTAAATACAGAGAGCAACTCTTTCAGCGAATAGTTCTGCTAGAACTTACTGCTCTGCGCCAAACTCTCACACCCGTTTCCATTTCACCAAGTGGGCAAGAGTGGGGACTTCGAGAGATGTAGACCTCCAGAAGAGAAGGGTGGGTCCCTGTTCTAGGCAGTGCTGCGTTTAATGAGTAGTACTCATTTGGAGGTGTGCTGTGGAGGGCTGTGAGGAGGATTTCCCATGGGCTCTTTGGGAAGAGGGGAGCGATAGAAATGAACCAGGTTTCCAAAGAAGTCTTCATAATGGTTCTTTCTGCCACCCTTCACACAAAGCCAGTCTACAAGCTGTAGTTTCACTTTTCTCAAGGGTGAAACTACACAGGAGGAAGGAGCTTCAGTGGCCCAAGCTATAAGATGCTCCCTCTAGTGTCTTGCACGCTCACAAATTTTTTCCCGACCTTGGAGAGGCCTAGTGATCTAAAGCTTTCCACTTAAGTCTAAGGGGCCACCAATCAAGGCCTGCCCGCCTCTGCAGCTCCACGGTTGAAGCTCTTGGGCCGTCACACCTGCCACTCATTTTCTTCCTCCCTTTCCATTGGCTCATGGCAGATAGCGAGGCTTTTTTTTTTTTTTTTTTTTTCATTGATTGGGCGGGGCCCAGTCAGGGGTGGGTTGGGTCTTTGACAGCTTTCTTTGCCAGATTCAAAGATGGCGCTCATGACCACGCTAAGAATGCAGCGTGAAGCTGCAGTTCTGCCATCACTCAAGATGGCTGCCCCCATCAAGATGACCGGGGTGTGCCGGGGGGAAAGGGGCAGCATGATGGTCTGAGATGGTAAGGGATACTGCACCATTGCAGGCCTGGTCTTGGAGCCTGGGAATCAAGAGTAGAGAGACTAGGGAGCTAGGTGAGGTCTGTGGTGGGGGCTAGGATCAGAGAAAGGGAGAGAGGACAAGGGTGACAGGTGGGGGTGAGAGATCAAAGATGGGGCGGGAGTGTGCCTAGGGTTGTCTCTCCATGAGTGCTCTCCTTCCCTACTCTTCCTGTTCCAGGTCTAGCGTCGGACCATGTGGAAGTTTCTGAGACTAGGGAGCCGGATAATGGGGGGTGGGGCCCGTTGGAGGGTAAAGGGGCAATAGCGTCCTTTCACAGGCTAACCCCGGCCCTTCCCCGTCCTCTGGACTAAAATGGGGAACACATTGGGCCTGGCACCAATGGGGACTTTGCCCCGCTGGAGCCCCCGCCGAGAGGAACCCCTGCCCAACCCTGGGAGCTTCGATGAGCTGCACCGGCTATGCAAAGGTGAGAACTTGGCATTGGGGTGTCTCAAGATGAAGGGGCAGAGGAGTGGAGGGTCTTGAATGCTGGATGTCCGGCGATAGGAGCAGGAAAGGGGAGATCACAGCTGGGGCGTGCAGCATCAGGGAGGATCAGGTGCCCAAATGAAGTGGAGCATTTCATTGCAGGACTTGAAAGGAGGTTAATTCCTCCAAAGTGTTCCCTGTGGAATTGAAAGGGGAGACTACCTTTTGGGGTAGTGGTTCCTTGTCTGTGCTTATTCCTTCCCTTCCCCTACCCCCTTCAGATGTATTCCCAGCACAGATGGAGGGCGTGAAGCTCGTTGTCAACAAGGTTCTGAGCAGCCATTTCCAGGTGCTCCCACTTCTCTGGCCCCTCCTTACTATTCCCCCTTTCCTGTCCCTGGATCATCTTCTCCTTTCCTTTGTACTCCAGCCCTAGCCAGTCTATGTGGGACAAATGAGGGAGGATGTGGGGTTCTCTTTACCTCCCTGCCTGTGGGACTTGTTGCTTTTAATCCAATGACCCTCTCTGTATATGTTGGAATATTTGGGATTCGTGAGAGGCCCTCTGAATGGGGAAAAGATTAAGGGTGGGATAAGGGATTGAGGTGGAGCAGGAATGCGCTTTTCTCCACTGACTCCTGTTTCCTCAGGTGGCTCACACTATACACATGAGTGCCCTGGGCTTGCCGGGATATCACCTCCATGCGGCCTATGCAGGGGATTGGCAGCTCAGTCCCACTGAGGTGAGGGCTCCACACACCTGGGTCATCTCCCTAAAAGCCAATCTGGGACCCAGGTCTGGAGGAAGAGGAATTGTGTGTGTTATGGGGAGGAATGGGCCGTAACCTGACTTTTGTGTCTCTTCTGAATGGGAGAGGGTAGAGAAACATTTTCTGTGAAGAGCCCAGAGTGTGTCTTTGTGACTCCACCAGGGGGCGCTGTGCACTCTTAATGAAGTTCTATATTTGGGTTTAGGCTGAGTGATGCCATCCGGCTCAGCCTTACTACTGTGTATACCCTTCCACAGGTGTTCCCCACTGTGGTAGGGGATATGGACAGCAGTGGCAGCCTGAACGCCCAGGTCTTGATCCTCTTGGCAGAGCGGCTCCGAGCTAAGGCTGTCTTCCAGGTGACCACAATTCCTGCCTCCGTCCCCTGAGGCACTTCCTCTCTCCTTCATGGGTTTCCTGCTCTGAGGGCTTGGAAGGAGGAGCAGAGTCAATAATGATCATAAAGAGGGAGGGAGATTTTACTTCTTGCTCTTGCCATTCAGACGCAGCAGGCCAAGTTCTTGACATGGCAGTTTGATGGCGAGTATCGGGGAGATGACTACACAGCCACTCTGACCCTAGGAAATCCTGACCTGATTGGGGAGTCGGGTGAGGAACTGGGACAGGGTTCTTTTTATCTTGGCTGCCCATTTGCTAATGTTACTATGCCTCTTCATCTTCTGTACAGTTTGGAGTGTAGAAAAGGAACTTCTTGGGCATGCTGGGGTGGCGGTTATTGGGGGTGAGGGAGCAGGTCTGGGTGTTGTCTCTATGACTGACTCCATGTCTCCCCGTTCCCCCACAGTGATCATGGTTGCTCACTTCCTGCAGAGCCTCACTCATCGGCTGGTGCTGGGAGGAGAGCTAGTTTATCACCGGCGGCCAGGCGAAGAGGGGGCCATCTTGACACTGGCTGGAAAGTACTCCGGTATGGGGCGAAGTGAAGTAGTGGTGGGTAGGGGGGGAAATTCTGAATTTTCTGGGGTTCCTGGCCTGTGTCATACTACAGTTAACACTCCTTCCCCTCTGTACTTTGGATTTTACAGCTGTACACTGGGTAGCTACCTTGAATGTGGGATCAGGCGGGGCCCATGCAAGTTACTACCACAGGGCAAATGAACAGGTGAGACCTCTGATCTCACTCCCTTCCTCGTCAGCAAGTCAGTCGTGAACTTTTGCTCGTCTGGACCTCTATCGCCCTGCTGACCTATTTTTCTTCCTACCACGCTGTGTATATATTTCCATGTATGCCTTCATTCTGCTGATCCCCTGTCAGGACCCTTCTGGTCTTCACTGATACTGATCTCTCTCTCATCCTTGCCCTTGGTTCTCAGGTTCAGGTTGGAGTGGAGTTTGAGGCAAACACAAGGCTACAAGACACAACATTCTCCTTTGGTTACCACCTGACTCTGCCCCAGGCCAACATGGTGTTTAGAGGTGAGGGTTAGTGGGAGACATTTGGCTATGCTGAGGAATGGGGAATGCAGAGGGAGGGAAACTACCTTATTTCTGGTGACTATTTCCTCCAATCCCTGTTAAATAACCTAGTGGGTATTCTCTCCCCCAACAGGCTTGGTGGATAGTAACTGGTGTGTAGGTGCTGTGCTGGAGAAGAAGATGCCTCCTCTGCCTGTCACCCTAGCCCTTGGAGCCTTCCTCAATCACTGGCGCAACAGATTCCATTGTGGCTTCAGCATCACTGTGGGCTGAGGTTGTCCAGAGCCAGCCCCCACAGCAGCTGGAACCTCTGAGTCAGGTGCCCTAGGGCCAGAGACTAGGCCCCTCTCCAGAGCCCACCTTGCTGGGTGACCTCTAGGACCCAGGAGCAGAGTGGTGGATAGGACCATGCCCTCCTCAGAACTGGAGCTGCCACAGGGGCAGTTGATGAGGCAGAGGTTTGAGGATCACCCCTCTGCTACCAGCCCCAATATCACCTTCCCGATGCTCCTGTGGCTCTGGACTAAGGGGAAAGGATTAAGGGGTATGGCTGAATTCCCCCGGCACTCCTTGCCTCCAGGCTTCCTTCTTCCTTTCCCTTTGGTTAATCCTGCATGGGATTAGCTGACCATCCTGTTTTCCATCCCAGAGTCTCCCAAGGCTGGGAAAGTAGGGCTGAAGGGCTAGATATTTGGTCTCAGAAAGTAGGGCCCACCCATTCCCAGAAGGAGCTTCTTTACCTCTTAGCCCTGAGGCTTCCTCCTTCCCATCTTCTGTGCTTCCAGAGAACAACTTTGTTCCTATGGCCAACCCCACTATCCCCATGACCGCATGAAGAGGCAGTTATTGCTTTAGTCTTTCATTGCAACCACTGGGCTCCCTTTGAACCCAGCCCAATCTTTGGTCCCAGCATTTCCCCGCTCCAGTGTATCCAGGGTGTCCCAGGTGATCTGGGGAAGGAAGTGAGCCTGGTCTCAGCTGCAGATCTCCTGGAGCAGTGGCATCATGGCAGACAGGCCCTGGATGTGCTGGATTTGGTACCCGTAGGCCTCATTAATGCTCCGGAGCTCAGCCAGCAGGCCCAGCAACTTCGCATACAGAAACCTTTGGAGGAAGTAGTGGGGTTGCCAGGAAAACAGGAGGGAAATAAGGCAGTTGGGAGTCTTGTCTTGAAGCCCTGATCCCCTGAACTATTCCTCAGTGAAGCCAGGTCTGAACATTAGAGAAAATCATGCTCTGGTATGACAGATGATCAGAGGTTCCAAAGGTCCTCCAGGGGGCCTCAGTCTGACACTGTCTTCTCTCACCGTGCTCAGTTTTTTCTGAACCCAGAGCTCTGAGGGCCACGTGTGAAGAAAGTTCCAGACTTGGCCAGAACTCCAACTGTGTGGAATCTGAGGGCCTGGCCTTCTAGAGCAGGTTCTAGAAGGTGGATGTGTTCTATGGTATAAAGCATCCCCTTTCTGGCCAAACTAGCTCTTGGAGGAATGAGCAAAACAGAAGCGGTGCATACCTCAGAGCCTGGATAAATCACAGACTATTGAACCTGGAACTGGCTTTGGCCATGAAACTGTGAATTGCCATAACTTCAAGGGAAATGAAAAATCAAAGGAATTGGCCCAATGGCGAGGAGAGGAAAGGCCAAGGGAAGAGAAATGCCTGCGTTAGTCTGAAGAAGTTGGACTAGTGAGGTGTGATGGATGTCATCAATCTCAGGAATGCTATTACCCAGAGCCTCTGAGCTACTACTTTGCATCTGTACTGAATAAAAAGAAAAAAAAATCTGGAAAAAGTGAGATGAAACAGCAGTATCCAAATTCAGTAATTTGGAGGCTGAAACGATGTGAGACAGGGATGGCCAGGGGGAAGGACTAGACCCCAAGATACCTGAATTCACTAAGGAAAGGACAGTAAAAAACATTCCTCCCACGCTCAATGGTTCGCCAACCCCTTCCTGCCCTGGTGTGGCCTCCAAGCCCTCAGTGTCCCACCGTACCGATCCCGGGGCCTTTGCTGCTGGCCCTTGATGTAGCTTTGCAGAGTCAGTGCCATCTCCTCTTGCAGCTGATCAATCTCATGTCTCTGGGTAACTCCAGGTCGGTCTGTAAGATAGGGAGCTGGGAAGGACAAGGTGGGTGGCAGGGGTGGGCCTGCGTGGTGCCCCAGGGACCGAGGCTGGGAGGTTTGACAGCTAGGCTAGAAGGCCTAACCTAGTCTGCAGGTTTGACAGCTAGGCTAGAAGGCCTGGGGTGGATGGACTCAAAGAGCTGAATGTTTGGGCAGAGGTGGTGCAGCAAAAGGCTCTGGGCTTTGGGAGATGCTCACCAGGAGAGAAGAGGGCCATGGCAGCCAAGAGCACATACTCAGGCTCCTGGAGCTGCAGTTTTCGTAGTGTTCCATGGAAGTGAAAGAGCAACTCCAAAAACTCTACCTGGAACCCCACTGCGGGAGATACTAGGATTAGGAGCCTCTAGGTCACCTGACCACATACTGTACCATGAGGACACATGCCCCCTACTGCTCTAGCACCATCTCACCACGGGCTGCGTCTTCAATTGTGTAGCGAAGAGGCCCGCAGAGGAAGTTTTGTGTTTGGAGACAGAAAGTGGTATTGAGTACGATATGACAGATTTCCACAGCTGCTCCCTTGAGAAGGGAGATCTGGTCTTCAATGGGCAGAGAACTGTGGAAAGCAGGAAACAAGGGCACTTTTCAATTTTTTTTTTTTTAGACAGAGTCTTGCTCTGTCACCCTGGCTGGAGTGCAATGGCACGATCTCTGCTCACTGCAACCTCCACCTCCCTGGTTCAAGCAATTCTCCTGCTTCAACCTCCCAAGTATCTGGGATTACAGGCATGCGCCTCCATGTCTGGCTAATTTTTTGTATTTTTAGTAGAGATGGGTTTTCACCATGTTGGCCAGGCTGGTTTCCAACTACTGACCTCAGGTGATCCACCTGCCTTGGCCTCTCAAAGTGCTGGGATTACAGGTGCAAGCCATCGCGCCTGGCTCACTTTTTAATTTTTTGTTTATTTATTTTTATTTTTTGTAAAGATGGGGTCTTACTATGTTGCCCAGGCTGGTCTCGAACTCCTGGGCTCAAGCAATCCTCCTGCCTTGGCCTTCCAAAGTGCTGGGATTATAGGTGTGAGCCACTGTGCCCAGCCGACAAGGGCACTTTATTATTATTCTTATTAATTAATTAATTTTTGAGACAGAGTGTTGCTCTGTCACCCACGCTGGAGTGTAGTGGCCTGATCTCAGCTACAGCAAACCTCTTCCTAGGTTCAAGTGATTTTTCTGCCTCAGCCTCCTGAGAGGCTGGGATTATAGATGCACACCACCACACCCAGCTGAGTTTTGTATTTTTAGTAGAGACGGATTTTACCATGTTGGCCAGGCTGATCTCAAATTCCTGAGCTCAAGTGATCCACCCGCCTTGGCCTCTCGAAGTGCTGGGATTACAGGCATGAGCCACTGTGCCTGGCCTATTATTATTATTTTTAGCTTTCATTTTTTGAGACAGAGTCTGACTCTGTCACCCAGGCTGGAGTACAGCGGTGCTATCTCGGCTCACTGCAGCCTCAACCTCCTGGACTCAAGTGATCCTTCCACTTCAGCCTCCCAAGTAGCTGGGACTACAGGCACCCACCATCATGCCCAGCTAATTTTTGTATTTTTTGTAGAGATGGGGTTTTGTCATGTTGCTGAGGCTGGTCTCAAACTTCTGGACTCAAGCGATCTGCCGGCCTCCACCTCCCAAAGTGCTGGGATTACTGGTGTGAACCACTGCGCGGCACCTCAAGGGCACTTTAGATGCAAGCCTGTACTTCAGAGATGGAGAAGAACTCCCAATTCTGATTGGCACAGTTAAAAACAAAGCTGGGAATTCAAGACCTAATGCTTAGAAAGGCTGAGGCATGTGTTAATTTGTTGTCAGTGACTTTTCGGGGTGGATATACAACTCACTGAAGTGTTTGCCTCCTGAAAGATGAGGGGAGGTCACTCACCGGAAGACAGGCAGGTCCTTGGTAAACTTGATGACTTGCTGTACCATGAAAGTGTTGATGTCTGCGAAGTGTGTGACCAGAGGCAGCACAGGGGCCAGGGTGGGCAAGGGCTGGTGATGGATGAACAGATGAGCTGGAGGCTGCAACGATCAGAACATTAGCTAGAGGCCCTGGCCCTAGGGCCCTCCTTCAGGCCTCGCCAGCCTTATCTTGGAAGAGTTCCTAGCTGAGAAGCCTGCTTAAGGCTGGGGTTCTGGAGATCCATCCTCAGTATCGGTGCATGGCATATACCCCTCTCTCTCAGAGCAGCCTTTTTGGGTGCCCTTTTCGTTGTATTCCAACCCAAATCCTGTCGGTGCTCACCCTAAACTGCACAAACTGTTCAAACATGGTGCCCATGTGGCGGGTGTGGGCCCCCAGGAGTGTCTGGATCAGCTCTTCTTGCTCATTACTCAGTTGCATAGGTGTTTGCTGTGCCCGCCGCTGGGCCTGCTTTGCTCGCCGCAATGCCAGGGCTTCTGCCGACAGTATCACTGTGCAGGGCAAGAGATCATGACAAAGCTGTTGAGACCAGCAGAGCACTTCTCTCTGCTGGTCCCTGATCTGGGGCCCCTCAGCCACCCTGCACAATGAAGGATGGGGGGAATGGGGGAATTCCTGAGGTTTTCTTGGGCTTGGCTAAAGTCCTAGAGGCTCCAGGAGGCAGGGGGTTCCTATACACTTCCACCAACCTGTGAAGAACTACAGCAGAAAACTGCACCATGGGAGAGAAGGGAAGGGTGGTGAGGAAAGTAGGAAAGATGTGAGGAAAGGTGCGAGGGCTTTTGGGGAAACAGTGTAGAGGGAAGGGTCTTGATATCTAGAGCATCACCTTATGTGATATTTTAAATGATCCTTCAAAAATAATCAAATAATCCTTTCAAATAAACACTTAACTGGTGTTTTAGCAAAATTTCAAAACTTCTGAGGTTAAATCCCACTGAATGAAACAACCCCAGGATAGGCAGGGCTGGTATTAATCTTATATATATATATATAAAATTATATATATATATATTTGTCTGTTTTATTTTGTTTTGAGATGGAGTCTCTCACTTAGTCGCCCAGGCTGGAGTGCAATGGAGCAGTCTTGGCTCACTGCAACCTCCACCCCCTGGGTTCAAGCAATTCTCCCTGCCTCAGCCTCTGGAGTAGCTGGGATTACAGGCACCCACCACCACACCTGGCTAATTCTTGTTTTCTTTCTTTTTTTTTTTTTTGTATTTTTAGTAGAGACGGGGTTTCACCGTGTTGGCCAGGCTGGTCTCGAACTCCTGACCTCAAGCGATCCACTCACCTCGGCCTCCCAAAGTGCTGGGATTACAGGCATGAGTCACCATGCCCAGCCTAACTAATCATTTTTATATCTATATCTATATCTATATCTATCTATCTATCTATATATATTTTTTTTTTTGAGAAAGGGTTTCACTCTTGTTGCCCAGGCTGGAGTGCAATGGCGTGACCTTGGCCCACTGCAACCTCCGCCTCCTGAGTTCAAGTGATTCTCCTGTCTCAGCCTCCCAAGTAACTGGGATTACAGATGCATGCTATCACGCCCAGCTAATTTTTGTACTTTTAGTAGAGATGGGGTTTCATCATATTGGTAAGGCTGGTCTCGAACTCCTGACCTCAGGTAATCTGCCTGCCTCAGCCTCCCAAAGTGCTGGGATTACAGGCGTGAGCCACCGCGCCCAGCCCAGTCATATTTTTTAGAAATGTAGACAGGCTTAGATTCCAGTGGCAGGACCAAGGTCACAAAATAAGTAATGTAGATTGAATTCAAACCAAAATCTTTTGACTTCTACAGAAGATCCAAGATCGAACCAAGATCTGGAATTCAGACCAAGATCCTTTGACTTCTACAGTTTCCTTTCATTCTTCCACAGTGAGAATTGTGTGATATGGAAAAAGCAAGTTTTTGGGAGTCAGGTAAATTTGAGTTTGAATACTGACTGTACAACTTCTTCCTTCTTCTTCTTTTTCTAGAGAGGGCATCTCTGTTGACCAGGCTGGTCTCGAATTCCTGGCCTCAAACAATCCTCTTGGCTCAGCCTTCCAAAAGTGCTGAGATTAGAGGCATGAGCCACCACGCTTGGCCTGCACAAGTTTTTAGTTGAATTAACTTGGGCAAATTAACTTCTGTGAGCCCCAGTTATATCATCCTTTGGGAGCATAGCACAGTTACTTGGTACAGAGAAAACATTAACTAATTCAATTATTGAGCACCTACTATGTGACAGGCACTATGCTCAAGAGATAGAAAATAAAAAACACACCTGTAATCCGAGCACTTTGGGAGGCAGAGGTGGGCAGATCACCAAGGCTAGGAGTTCGAGACCAGTGTGGCCAACATGGTGAAAGCTCATTTCTACTAAAAATACAAAAAATTAGCTGGGCGTGGTGACACATGCCTGTAATCCCAGCTATGCAGGAGGCTGAGGCAGGAGAATCGCTTGAACGCAGGAGGCGGAGGTTGCAGTGAGCCAAGATGGCACCACTGTACTCCAGCCTAGGCTATAGAGTGTGAGACTCCATCTAAAAAAAAAAAAAAGAAGAAAAGAAAAGAAAAAAGCTAGCCATGTGGATATCTAGGACAAAAGCATTTCAGGTAGAGGGAATGGCAAGTGGAAAAGCCTTGGAGAAGAGTGTGTTTGGTGTTTCTAAGGATGACAGTGTAGCTAGAATTGATTGAGTAAGGGGGAAGAGTCTGATAATAAAGTCTGAAAGGTGTTGTGGGAGAGCTAGAGCATGAGATCATGTACTTTGAGATGGGGAGTCATTGGAGGTCTTGAGTGAATACTGACATAATCCGACTAGTTTCAAAAAGAGTACTGTGCCTGCTATGTAGAGAATGCACTATTGGGAACAAGGACAAAGCAAACAGACACGGTCAATGCATTCTTGGGATGTAGGGGGCCAACTCACTGTCTTTCCTCATGCCAGCATCTAAGCACTTCTGCAACCTGCAGGCTGGGCAGTGGCGCCTCTGAATCTTGCTGACTTCACAGCTTCCAGCAAAGGGGCAGGTGGGACCAATGCTTTTGCTGACTGTTCTCCTGTGAGACACAGAGATGTTGTTAGAGTTTGGGATGCAGTGAACAGACACATGGATGGGTGAGGGGCTGAGATGACATGGTCTAAAAGACCTGGGAATCTGGTGAAATGGACTAATCTGAGCTGTGCCCAAAGGTCCCTAGGGGTGGATAGGGTCCAACACAGCTCAAGCATTTCCATGGCAACACAGGATCACTCCGGAAAGCCTAGTTGATGTAGTACTAGCTAGATGCTTCACAGGCAGTGGGTACATAATAAGTGCTCTTGACTAATGGGCTGTGTCCATCAGACAAACATTTAGCCTTCCCTCTGTTATGCCGCCAGTTTATACAGTGATGTGTTTGACAAGATGTAGGTTGCCATCCACAGGGTAATTAGACTCTCAGATAAAGGAGTAATGTAGCTGGACAGGCTTAGGCACCAGCGAGGGTGTAAAGGCTGATTGATAGGGAGTTTGGTTTGGACGGCTGTTTCCACTGGGGAGGAGACTCTCACCTGAAGAAACCCTTGCAGCCCTCACAAGTCAGCGCGTTGAAGTGGTAGCCTGTGGCCTGGTCCCCACATACCACACAGTTCCTCAGCTCATCTTCCCTACTGGCCATGACATCAGGTGTTGGGGTGGCTGTTACAGACTCCTGAATGTGGGAGGGGTCAGCAGTCAGTTCTGGGCCACGCTTGACCCTTTTCTGTCCCTTCTACAGAGTCTCTTTCCAAACCAAACCAAACCTGTCCTTGACCTGATCCCCAGCATTATCTTTTGTGTGTTCCTTTTCTTTTTCTTTTTTTTTTTTTTGAGACAAGTTCTCGCTCTGTCACCTAGGCTGGATCTCCGCCCACTGTAACCTCCGCCTCCTGGGCTCAAGCTATCCTCCCACCTCAGCCTCCTGAGTAGCAGGGACTACAGGTCTGGACCACCATCTCCAGCTAATTTCTGTTTATTTATTATTATTAATTTTTGTAGAGATGGGGTTTTGCCATGTTGCCCATGTTGATTTTTGGTTTGTTTGTTTTGTTTATTTGTTTGTCTGTTTTTTGAGATAGAGTCTTACTCTGTTGTCTAGTGTTACCTAGGCTGGAGTGCATCATAGTTCAATGTAACCGCACACTCCTGGGCTCAAGGGATCATCCTGCCTCAACCTCCTGAGTAGCTGGGACTATAGGTACACACCATCACACCAGGATATTTTTTCTTTTCCTTCCTCCCTCTCTCCCTCCCTTATTCCTTTCTTTTGTTTTTTGTTTTGTTTTGTTTTGTTTTGTTTTCCTGAGACTGAATCTTGCTCTGTCGCCCAGGCTGGAGTGCAGTGGCGCAATCCTGGCTCAAAACAACCTCCGCCTCCCAGGTTCAAGCGATTCTCATGCCTCAGCCTCCTGAGTAGCTGGGATTACAGGCACCCGCCACCACACCCAGCTAATTTTTTATTTTTAGTAGAGATGGGGTTTCACCATATTGGCCAGGCTGGTTTCAAATTCCTGACTTCAAGTGATCCTCCCACTTTGGCTTCCCAAAGTGCTGGGATTACAGGCGTGAGCTTCCGCGCCTGGCCCCTTTTCTTTCTTTTTTGTAGAGATGGGATCTGTTATGTAACCCAGGTTGGTCTTGAACTCCTGGGCTCAAGCGATCCTTCTACCTTGGCCTCCCAAAGTGCTGGGATTACACACGTGAGCCACCATGCCTAGCCCCCAGCATTATCTGTACTTTATTGCATTTAGTCTTTGGCTCCCAACAGATTTCCTACCTGCTTATCTTAGGCAGTATATCATCTGCAGGCCACAGAATCCGGTATGGAATGCCTTTCCCCAAACTCCCACGCCGTTGCTGGTTTTCCTTTGATCTCAGGAGTTACCAGTGATTGGAGTTAGGGATTATGACCCTTAGTACCTGGAAAACAAGAGATGTCTGTTTTATGTGGACTTCAGTGGCTCTCAGTGACTGTGGGGTTAGGGCACAGACCCTGGACTCTGGGCAAAGGTCTGGGTGGGAGGTTTTCCCAGCATGACAAAAGTGCTGGTTGGTGGCACATGGGGAGGGACTCTGGTGGGCGGGAACCTTGTGACTCATTGGAAGCTGCTTCTTATTAGACTTATGGAGATTCTCCCTGTTGATGAGTTTAAGGCTACATCTGCAACCTCCTGTGTACAGAGATCCTGAACAAGCTGGGAAGAGAGAGAAAGAGAGAGAGAGAGACAGACAGACAGAGCAAGCTTTTTCACACACAGTATGTCAGTACTAAAAGAAGAGGTGTGGGCCGGGCGCGGTGGCTGAAGCCTGTAATCCCAGCACTTTGGGAGGCCGAGATGGGTGGATCACAAGGTCAGGAGATCGACACCATCCTGGCTAACACGGTGAAACCCCATCTCTACTAAAAAATACAAAAAACTAGCTGGGCGTGGTGGTGGGCGCCTGTAGTCCCAGCTACTCGGGAGGCTGAGGCAGGAGAATGGTGTAAACCCAGGAGGTGGAGCTTGCAGTGAGCTGAGATCTGGCCACTGCACTCCAGCCTGGGTGACAGAGCGAGACTCCGTCTCAAAAAAAAAAAAAAAAAAAAAGAAGAGGTGTAACAAGGCTCCCCCCAAAAAAGTTTTTAAGAGACTAGGGGCCCGGCACGGTGGCTCAAGCCTATAATCCCAGAACTTTGGGAGGCTGAGGCAGGTGGGTCACTTGACGTCAGTAGTTCGAGACCAGCCTGGATAACATGGTGAAACCCTGTCTTTACTAAAAATACAAAAATTAGCTGGGCATGGTAGCACATACTTGTAATCCCAGCTACTTGGGAGGCTGAGGTGGGAGGATCACTTGAACTCAGGAGGTGGAGGTTGCAGTGAACTGAGATCATGCCACTGCACTCCAGCCTGGGCACACAACAAGTGAGACTCTGTCTAAAAAAAACAGAGAGAGAGACTAGGATCTAATGAAGAGCTTATGCAAAGAACCCTCTCACTTCATAACTAGGGAGGGCTGAGAATTAAATCAGAATGACCACAGGGCACAGTGACATGCCCTGTGCATTCCCCCTACTCTGGAGATAGGTAGAGGATGGTTTGAGCCCAGGAGTTTGAATCCAACCTGGGCAACATAGCAAGACCCTATCTCTAATAATAATAATAATAATAATAATAAAGAGTGCTATTTTTTTAAAGTAATTTTTTTGGGCCGGGCAGGGTGGCTCATGCCTGTAATCCCAGCACTTTGGGAGGCCAAGGCGGGCAGATCACGTAGTCAAGAGGTCTGGCCAACATGGTGAAACCCTGTTTTTACTAAAAATACAAAAATTAACTGGGGATGGTGGTGCACGCCAGTAGTCCCAGCTACTTGGGAGGCTGAGGCAGGAGAATTGCTTGAACCCGGGAGGCAGAGGTTGCAGTGAGCCAAGATCGAACCACTGCACTCCAGCCTGGGTGACAGAGTGACTATGCCCGGCTAATTTTTGTATTTTTAGTAGAGACAGGGTTTCACCATGTTGGCCAGGCTGGTCTCAGACTCCTGACCTCGTAATCCACCTGCCTCGGCCTCCCAAAGTGCTGGGATTATAGGCGTGAGCCACTGCACCCGGCCTATTTTTCTTTGTTTTGCTATTATGTCTTCTGCTTCTTCACTTGCATTAAATTATAATTAATGTTTCTCTAAAGATGAGTTAAAACCCCAAGTGCAGGCTAGAGTCATAAACACACACACACACACAGAGAGAGAGAGAGAGAGAGAAAGAGAGAGAGAGAGAGAGAGAGAGAGAGAGAGACTGAGTTAAAAAGATCCTTGTTTAGTTTACCAGAATGAATTGGTAGAACCCCTCATCTCAAGTGGTATAGCATCTAACTATGCATAACTTTGCGTTTTGAAATAAACTGAGTTCCAGAGAGCACAGATGCTTGGATGTGTTCCTTGGGAGATGGTAAGAATATTTATGTGTATGTATCTGTTGGTGTCTTTGTGACTCTGACAATTCATACTAGTTTATTCAATCAACAAATATTGACCAAGAATCCACCTATGTCTTAAGACACTAGAGTTAAAAGATGAGTAAGATGCTCTCCTACTCTCATTCCCGCTAATGGGGGAAACAGACCTTTACACGTATATAAAGAAATAGAGTCAGATCAGTGATGGTGCCATGCATAGAGCATTACGGCACTGAAAAAGTAGGGCGCTTAATTCTGCTTTGGCGAAGGGGTATTGAGGAAGAGGCAGGAGAGGCTTTCTGGAGGTGTGGCAACTGAGTTGACTTTTAAAGGGTAATGATGAGTTAGCCGGGGGGGAATATAAAAGGCAGGTCAGGCAGAGGGTGCAGCCTGAGATGGTCAATAAGCCAGATACAAAAAGGTAGATATGGTAGAACCACAGATGGGCCTCTCTTGCTGGAGCATAACATTTCAGGCTGGCAGTGGGAAGAAATAAGGTTGGAGAGGTGCAATATAAGGCTGAGATGTAGGCAGAACACAGGAGACCTCATGTGTCAGGCTAAACACTGAGTCCATCAGGAAACTTTGAAAGAGAAAGCTGTGAAATGACATTGTCATATCTATATTCTAGATAGTTTAGTCTGCTGGCTGTTGGATTTGAGGGGGCAGGACTGAAGGCAAAGAGACCAGTTAGAAAGCTATAGCCATAATGTAGGCGAGAGAAGATTAAGCTGGAGCTAGGATAGTGGAAGGATGTAGGAGAGGAGAGGGTTTTGAGAAATACGTGGAAAGTGAAATTATTGGAATTTGGTGACTATTTTAATGCCTGGATTAAGAAAGAAGACAAGGAATTAAAGATAACTCCAGGTTTCTGGCGTGGGTGACTGAGTGGACGGTGGTACTGCCAACTGGGAGAGAGACTACAGGAGGAGGACAAGGGCCCTCCATACTTGGGTGCCAATCCATTTTCACAGTTGACAATTTACTCCAGTAATAAGTTATCAAGTGTCCACTCATGATTAGCACCAGAAGGAGAGACAAAAGAGAGTCCCTATTACAGAGACACTTCCAGATTAATTATGAATAAATAAATTGAATTCCTAGGTCTTAAAAGAAAATATATAATCAAACAAATGTTGTGGTAAAGACTATGTATAATATTATAGGTATTAATTGCTCCCTTAATTTATTCTTCTTGTGTACCCATATGAGCAGAGTACTATGTAAAATTCCTTGCCTGTGTTAACACTGTAAGATAGGTAATATCGTCATTTTACAGATGAGAAAACTGAGGCTCAGATTGTTTAGATAACTTATACAAGGGCCAATATACCCAACAGTTTATTAGATGACTCCACTTGGATTCACATAGGCACCTCAAATTCAATATGTCTAAAATTGAATTGTCAATCCCCCCACAAACTAACTTTTCCTACCTTACCTGACTTGATGACTAGTCCAACATGAGAAAGTGGAAAGAACATGGGCTTTGGGGTCATATAGACTTATGTTCAAATTCCGACTGGCTCTTGCTAGCTGAATTACTTATTTTTTGCCGCTTCTCTAATTGTTTGCCATGATTGAGACCCAGCTCCATGGGGCTCTGGGAATCAGATATCATCAGGCTGAGCCAACACTGGACCAGGGAAGGGAGGCATACTTCCTCTTCCTACATCAGCAGTGAATGTTTAGGGCGAAGTTAGGCTAGAAAGATGTTCTGGTCCAGGGCTGCCCTTCACCTGGGGCCAGGGATTACACTAAGCCTTGTTCTTCTTGCAGAAGTCCACCCTGAAGTTCTTTGAGATGGGGTTTCCTTTGGAACAGACTGCTTTGAGTTTGCTCTTCTGTGTACAGAAACCCTCCCCTGGCTTCCAGGTCTCTGCTGTAAAGCAGACAGAGAGTAGAATCTGCTGCAGGATGCCCCTGGCATCCATAGTGAACAGGCTTTCAGGGTTAACTGATACCCTCACCCTCTTCCAACATGCCTCTTCCAGGCCAGGGTCTGAAAAACACCTGTGAGGATTGTGACCTGATGGGTTAAGCTCTCTGAATTTCAGTTTTCTTTCCTGGAAAAAAAAGGGTTAATAACACTCGTTATCCAGGTTTGCTGTGAAGACTAAACAAAGTAATAAAGTAGTAAAATGTAAAATTCTTTACAGGGTGCTTGAAACATGCAAGGAAATCAACATATATTCATTCTCTTACCTTCTTCCTTTCCTTCCCCTTTTACTGCTGTCTTCTCCCAGATGCCAAACCAGAAATTGGTGAGTCACCTAGTCTCCTTTCTCTCCCTCATTCCCTATAAATGACCAAATGCCATGACCTGTCATTCCTATCTTCTGACCTCTACATGCCCACTACCTCTTAGCTGCGTTTAGGCCCTCATCATTTTCCACTTACTGCTGCAGCAGACTATTCAATTATTCTCCCTGCTCCCAGCCTCATCTCCTTCCAACCCATCCTCCATGCTGTTGCTATTTCTAAAATGCAAATTTGATCGTGTCTCTTCCCTGCTTAAAATTCTTCATTTGCTTTCCATCACCTTCAGGATAAAATCCAATCTCTTTAGCATGTCACATAAAGTCCTTTGTGATCTGGCCCCTATTTAATCACTCTGGCTTCACCTATTCTGTCTCCACTTCCCTCCCCTGACCTAGCACATCACACTTTGGCTCTAGATGTGCTTAAGCATTTAGAGTTCCCCGAACAAGCTGTGCTCACCCACCTCTGAACATCTGCCCTTGTTGTTCCCTCTGGTTGGAATTGCCTCACACATCCTTATTTTCAAACCCTCTTCCCCTCATCCTCCTGATCCTCTTGGTCCTTCAGGCCTGGGTACTGCAGATCACCTCGGTGAGCCTAATAGAGCTACACCTCTGTACACAAATTTGTCACAGCACTTATCACACTGCAGGACAACTGTCTGTTTCTTTCTGACTCTGTCAATCAACTGTGAGTTGATGAAGTCAAGGGCTGCACCTGTCATTTGGGGATCCTTAGGGTCTTATGTACTCCAAGCATATATAATAAATATTTATGGAATGAATAAATGGACTGGGATACAAATTAACATCTGATTTCAAATCCATGCTCTTTTCGTGCAA